AACAAAGAGATCAAAGGTAGATGAGCACGACCGGCTTGACTTCTCCTGCATTACCTTTGGATTGCCGCCTATGCAGGAAGAAGGAAGGCAGCCAGCAGGAATTGAGATTTCATCTGGCGCTCAACCATGGTTCTGCCGCTGCTGCAGACCCTCAGGTTGGGTCTTCTAAGCGACGGGGATGGAGCGAATGGAGACAGGTGCAAACGAATGACCACATCTGTAAAATGAGCAGAGGAGATTGGTGAAGCATTCTTTGTTGGCCATGGCCTTATTGTGTGCATTGCAGTATCCTTGTCCTTTGTGGATTTATTGCGCATTTCCTCCTGGTGTGGGCGGTTTGCACATCCACGTCCTCTCCTTTGCGATACCAGCGACTTGTGCTCACGGTGAATTGTTGAAAGACATACCTTGAGAAAGCCGCCGCAGCTAGCTGACCGAAGCAGTCTCTCTAACTTTCCAGCCCGTATATGGTTGATTTGTCTTTACGGCCTTTCCCAGCTCTCCACGACCTTTTGCGCCTTCCGTGAAGATAATCCGTGTCTGAAGATGAGAAGGGATTGATCAAGTGGGCGACCGGGAGATACTGTGTCACTGGGAGCGGATTCACCAGCTGAAGTAAACAGGCCAGGAGGTGATTGCGGTTGGGCTGGTTGGCAGAATCGACGAGGTCGGATCAGCGGCGGTAGCCAAATAGTGACAAGGAGAGAGGCAATTAACACAACCGGGTCGAGGGCGAGAAGGTCGACGGTGAGGTGAGGTGAAGTGAAGGTCAGGTGAGAGGAACAAACAAGCAGAGTCTATGCCTCAGCCAGCATCTTACAGTGGTAAGTGGTCGCATGCGCCTTCCTCCCAACTACATGTGCTCGCTAACTTGAACTGTTGACTTGATATAATCCAGCTCAGTCTCGCCTCTTGTGTCCATTCTTTCATCTCCCAAACCCACACTTTGCCCTTTGTCTGCCGACATCTCACGCTCCTTTTTATCAACCAGTCCATCGTTATTTTTCCCTCCTTACACCATTCGTTCATTACTCGTCGAACCGCAATCCTTCCAACCGATCCCTCGCGCGTCAACCACCTCAATTAACAACTCTATCACCACCATCAATCACTCCTGCACGACCCCAAACAATAAGCACACCTCGTCGACGCAATGGCCAACGCCAGAGTCAAGCTCAAAGCTGACGCCGTTAGCCCTGCACCCCGCTTGATTCTCCTCGCCCTCCTCTTCCTCTTCTCCCCGGCTCATGCCTTCTTCCGTCACCTCTGTCATGGTGAACTTGGAAACGGCCGCGTCGACCCCATCATGGCCCCTGGTAGTCCCGCCCAACATCTTCACGTCATGTTTGGTGCTTCCAGTGAGTTAAGAATGACGCAGCACATGGAATAAAAAGTACGTTTCTAACCCGTCGCTACAGACATGGGACTTGATCCTACCCTCGACGAACTTCTGGCTTCCAACTGCACTAGCTGTTCTATCCTCCAAGATCATTCCGTCTACTGGAGTCCACGCATGTACTTCCAACATCCGAATGGCGCGCTCGAGATGGTTCCAACTGCTGGCGGACTGACTGCGTAAGAGATGATTCTGCCGGAACCCCTTTCAGGACACTAATAGCCGACAGGTATTACTTCACTGAGCCGTCTCCGATCGAGCCGTCTCCTGTGGTTGCATTTCCTCAGAACTTCCGCATGATTGCAGGCAACTCTTTGAAGCGTGCCTTTTATGGCCCGGTTCCAGATCCACCAATGTCAAACTGGCAGCCCAGCGACATGACCCAACAAGCACTCATGGAGAAGGCTCTCGGTTTCAACTGTCTGAACTACAACCTTCCAGCAGAAGGCGCACGACAGTATCACTATCTCCGCAACAAGACTTTCCTTGATGCCACATGTGCGGACGGAGTGCGCGCAGAACTCATGTTTCCGTCATGCTGGAACGGAAAAGATTTGGATAGTGCAAATCACTCAAGCCATGTGGCATACCCAAACGAGATCCAGAATGGGAAATGTCCGGAGGGATACCCCATACATTTGCCTGCCTTGTTCTATGAGACCATCTACCAAACCAATCTTTTCAGGGGCATTGACGGGGAGTTCACGTTTTCCAACGGTGATCCTACCGGTTATGGCTATCATGGAGATTTTATGTGCGCTTGGGACGAAGGAGTATTACAAAGTGCCATCGACGACCCAGCCTGCAATCTTCCAGTGGGGACTTCAGGCAACCAGAACGACTGTCCAATCTTCAAGCTCCAAAATCCAGATGACGGTACACAATGCAAGATGGAGGTGCCTGAGGTCCTTCAAAACGAGCAAATCAACTTCGTCCAACACCTACCCGGTAACGTGCAAATCCAGTCCGGACCTGGGCCTGCCACAATTGGACCTATACCGGATGCTGCAACACCGGCCGCGGCCTCCTCACCAGTCGCAAACACCACAATGCCATTTCCAGCAGGAAAAACTCCTGAATCTACGACTCTGACGCCTACGCCTGCATCTGCTGCTACCTCAATGACAACTCCATGCACCTCTAACAGTCAATTCACTACCACAACCAGCTATATGAGCAACGGTGTCATGGTCAATCTGATCCTGGTCGAGGAAGTCGTGACTGTCACCTTGGCAGACGGCGCCACTCCAACAGCAGAAAAGCACAAACCTCATACGCACAAGCATGGCCACAGAAATGGAAGGGGTCGGCTGTAAGGGTGGTTATATGTGATTATAGCCCTTCGCCCAGGCGGCTCATTATTTGGGTATCCAGACAACCCCTAAAACCTTGTCTTGGAAATTATCCTTCAAAGGGAAAATGACGAACATTTCCCCAACGCTGCCCGGCGCAGCTACGAAATTCATGATGATCAAATGAAAGTGAAAGAAAATATGCCGGTGGTGAGCTTGGTCGCTTCTACATAGGACAAATCCGAAAGAGAGTTGGGATTTGCGAGCTGGTTCTGATAGCTGATGAAGGGTCAAACATGAAATGCAATGATGAGACGAAACTTGTGTCGGCGATATGACTGCGAGGATTGTTTGAGGGACAATGGCGGGTAGGCTTCGTCCAGTACTTTGTGGACTCTAAGCCGGCTTAGGCTCGATCCTATCATCACACTCTGTACTTCAGCTGCACGAGCGAAACAGTAAAACTACCTGACAGTACCCCATGATCCTCGAGAACTGAATGTTTCAACCCGTGACTCGATCCTGGCCACATGCACAATGTACATCTACAAGTACAGGGTATGGAGGAAGTGTATTACTCGCTGTCATAGAATATCAGAAAATAGCGCAGATTGGCCCGAGCCTGCCGACCGTCACATGACCATTCTTTGTGTGGCGACGACTTTCTTTCCTCTCTCGCTCTATTCGTTTTGGAAACTTTCCTGTTACATTCAATCGCAAATAATCTCGTCGAAGTCCTTACTACTTTGTGTATCTGTCACTATCCTAATCGCACACTATAGGGACTTACACACCTGCAAAGTCCAGGCCCTTGAGGAAATAATGTTCTCAACAACAACCACGTCGACTTCGACGAGGAAGACAGCAGGGGACATTATCGCGTCGGCATCGCGGCCGAGCAAGTCGGTGCACGCGGGCTCGCAGGAGGAGCACCGTAACGACTACCGCAAGAAACTGTGGTGCGAGACGCAGTGGACGAACCTAAGCATGCAGGCCAAGAAGACGCACGAGCTGCCCACCCTGCCGTACTTTGATCCCGAGACCATGTTGTTGAGTAAGGAGGTTAATGCCCGCTTGTGGGGACAGTTGGTACGTACAAAGCAAGTGAACACACACACAGGCCTGGATGTTGTCATTTTCTCTCTATACATTCATTTCTTTCATTCAACAACCCCTTCGGGGGTGGGATGAGCGGGGAGGAGCTGGGACTTTATCGTCCGCTTTCGCCGTTCTATATGTCACAGTCGTGGAGGGAGGGAAATTGAGACATCTCCTGCTTCTTCTTTTGCCTTTCCCGCCCTGCGTTCTCCTCCGACTTTCCCGCTGATACCCACCACAGAACCGATTATGGGACTACCTGGGCCCCGAGCGGGCTCCATACGCCACGCCCATCATGGCCGAGGGCGGAGAGGTCAAATGGCATTCGTTCCTGAACGGGAGTCAAGGTGACGAGGCAGAGATCTTCGACAAAGAGCTCGACGCCTTTATGAGTCGCAGCCGAAAGCCCGGGGAGTATGATGGATAAATTCATTGAGAGATGAGGGTGTTGATTCTCAGAATACTCTGGACTAGGCATGGGTGCATCGTCTACGAGGCTTTTAAAATCCACAAGATTGCGGGAGAATCAAAAGGGGTTGTTCAAACAGACATTCAGAGACAAAAAGACTCTCTCATACTTTGTTGTTGATTTTATGGTCACGATGACGTTGACGATGATGGTATATCCATGATCTAGTCATCTAAGCTGGGCCAGGCTAGTCTCGAGGACTCAAAGCTCCGCGCAATCGAAAGATAAAGAGGTTTGCTTTTTCATCAACTTCCAGGAATGCTCGATGTACATGCCTCCCTTTCCAGAAAGCCCTGGGTGCAACATACCCTGAAAGGAGCAAATATGGGATTCGGGCGTCCAGAAACTGACAGCGGAGAAAATCTAGGCTCGTCGAAACACTAAATGCGAAGCACCAATCACCAAACCTGTCAGGCTGCGAATGACCAGATCGAGGTAACCGATATACTCCGTACCGAGGGTGCAGCTGCAAGTGCCACTACAGTTTCAGGGGGAAGGATGTGAGCCTAAATACGAAGGAGAATAGGATGCCACAGAATGCCGGACCAGTTCCATTTCCTTCCTGATGTGGGACAAAAGGTGCTTCTTCAATTATCCATTTTCAGTACAATGTCAACTTGTTCTACCCCGGAGACCTCCCATACATCTTGGTGTTGATCACATATGCATGATTTGCCATCTGTCTTGCCAACAGTGCTTCCATAGCCCTGAATACGCTACCACTTTCCGATCGGCAAAGACATCGTCAAGGGTGCAGAGAGTCCGGCGCCTCGATATACCACGAATCGTCGCTCCCAAGCGTTATCTCCAACCTGCAATTGTGCGGACCAGGGATTGTGACCTTGTTTCCCGCCACCGTGGCTGAGCGCCAGCAGGTATCGAGCGCTTGCAGGAACATCTCGGGGTTGTGGAAAGGAAAATCACCGCGGCGGTGACAGACGTATTCCTCGACCTCGTGCAAGATACTGTCCTTGCCCTTCGGAGAGCACAACAACCTGGATCCATCGGAAGCCAGAAAAGCGCCTTGCATGGAAAAGCGATCCAGCTGGGTCTCTTTGTTCAGGAACAGGATCAATTTCATCACCAATGCCAGAATTCCTCCACTCGGCGACGACGGCGTGCCACCAGCGCCGCTCAGGCGGATGTTGATGATGCTAAGTGATCGGAGCGGCTTGGAGTGCTGCGCGATGAAATCGCACAGGACGTTCAAGCGGACCGCCGTGTTTTCTAGAGTGAGGCTATTCAATCTGGGTAAGAAAGTCTCAGGGGTTACCGGGGAACGGAGCAGCAAGCTAGTCATCCTCGTCAATGCATAGCCGCGAACAACATGGGTTCTCTGATGTCCTGCAGGCAATTCATCGAACCCGAGCCATAGGTGTTCGGCCGCAGGCAGGTATCCCGCTAGTTGGGCCAAGTATTTGGCCAGGCCTTTCTTCCAATGAGAGTTTCCTGGAGTGAGAGGACACTGCGCTCGATCGAAGCTCTTGACTTCAAAATGTCAACTTAAAGCGGGTGACCCTCTCAAAAAGCTCTTTTGCATGTGGGATTTCCATGCAGTTGTAGAACTCCCACCAATAGAACGACGGCAAGTCAATGGAAACAGGCTTTAGACCGCGACACTTTTGCAACGCCGAGTTCATGAGCAGATATTGTGTTCCGCCATCCAGGGTTCTTATTCCCGTCCTTCTCAATAGGTCAGAGTCTTCGTCAAGGAGACAGTCTCCCTCCTCCGTCCGAGACGGCGGGCTGCGGTGCACGAAACACTCTAGCCGCGGAAACTTCTTCAGCGAGCTCGAGAGCAAAGCAGGGCCGTCGGTCGAGAAGCGCAACTGGGCATCCAGCTCGTCCTTGTATGCGCGTGAGAGTTTGAGAGCGTACAAAGCCGCGTCGAGAGGATGCATGCTTCGCAGCCGTCCCGCCAAATGGCCAACCCTAATGCATTCGTCAAAGGGCAGGGCTTTGAGATAGTGCCTATGGACCTCGAGGGTACGCACTTGGCTGGCAAGGTCGACCCGCTCTGCGATTTTGGACAGCCGGTCCACGCTGCTCATGCTTGGAGAAAGGCATAGTGTGCGAAAGAGAACCCGCGTGGCGGCCAGGCTTGTACACTTGTCGAGAAAGCGGCAAGACTTCAGGTCCCGTCGTCCCAGCCGCCCCATGATGTTCGCTTTGATCTCTGGAGGCAGCCTGGCCCACGGCTTCCCAGGAGGCTGTATTAATGCTGAGGGCATTCAGGGAGTCAAAAGTGTTAAATATCGTCCAGAGGAACGTCGTTTGAACGGGGATAGACATCCCAGGATAGAGAGAGAGAGAGAAAGAGAGAGAGAGAGAGAGAGAGAGACAGGTATAGAATAGAAGACAGGAAAAGCGGGAAATGCTGCTTGTCTCCCACGCGTTTGGCCGCCGCACGGCGGTGAAACTTTGCACGGCATTTTTGGAGGATCAGCCGTGTCATATTGATTCAAGAATTGAAGCAGAGGCAGTTCTGCCAGAATGGCAAACACTACATTGGCACATTTTGTGTGATATGCAAACGCTGAGCGCATATGACACGGTGCACATGCCGGCAGCCGTCCTTTTCATGCCCTTTACAAACGTCATCAGCATGCATGAGGCGGCTGTCGCGCTGAATTGACTTGACCTGTACATCTGAACGCGGAGCACCCTCTGGTGACAACAGGCACAGGAAGCGCTGGTGCAAGGGAAGGGAGTCAGGGGTGTAATTGGCAAACAGCTCATTGTTGTGGCTCAGGAGTGCACCAGCGAAAAAATCGTCCCCTACTGGGTATCCTATTTACAAGCTCAAGAATTGCTCAAACCAGCTTCCTCCAGGACTGGCCAGGTCCAGCACCTGCGGCTGCCTCCGTCTCGGTGCCCAGCGCATACCACCTCTCTTCCCAGCTCTCCAGACTGCGCCTATCCTCTTTAGCATTCCGCATCTCACCAGACGATCCGTGTCCCCCACTGCGCGCGGAAGGAGACGCCGTTGTGAAGATATCTCTTCGCCCTTTGGCTGGATTGCCTGGGGCCTTGGTTGGCGTGTGTCTCCAGGGACTTCCCACCTTCGGAGTGCGTGGCGTGCCGCCGCTCTTGGCACTCCTGTTTCCTGTCGAGAAAGGAGACGTAGGTGGGTGGCCAGCGGCATCGAAGCCGTATTTTTCTCTCGCGCGCGCAGCATCCTCTTCGAACTTCCTCAGATGTCTTGCGTAGGTATCACCTTCGGCGTACCTCGATGCAGCGGAACCGTTGTTGTTATCTCCTGTCAAGATTCCCAAACGCTTCATGGCGATAATGTTCCGATTGCTTTTCCGTGTCTTGCGCCACTGGGCAAGGAAGCCGAGGCCCGGGATCGAGTCGAGGATCTTGTGGAACGATGTTGGGTGATATTTTCGCCAAAGGAGGATGGACACCAAGAGAAGAACAAGGCAGCCAATGCTGAGCGGAACTATGATCACGGCGAGTGGATGTCCATAACCTCTTCCGTGAGGATGGTCGAATGGCGGACCTGGGGCGGTGGTATTTGAAAATGGAGACGAAGTTGTGGCAGGGACTGAAGTCAGGGCTGGCGAAAGAGCAGTCAAGGAAGACGACAACGTCGTGCTTGTTGTTCTTGACGTGGATGAAGAAGATGTCAACTGTGAAGCTGTTGACCCGGCGGGACTGATAACGCTCGTAGTTATTGATATAGAAGCGGAATGAGAGGTAGAACTTGAGCTTGCATCGCCTCCCGAAGGATCCAGTGGGCCACCGGGACATGCGGCAGGATCAGGGACACCTAAAGCAACGCACGCGGTCGATGTCCATGCAAGACTGCTGATGCTGGCTGTGGTGGTTGACGGAAGGACCAAAGAGATGGACGGAGCAGAGAGGCTTGACATCGTCCCAGTCGCGGCTGTGGTGATGATGGATGTAAATGTGAATGTGAATGGTTCAACTTGACCGGTAGACGGGGCTGGGGACGAATTTGCGGTCTAGAACAAGAACCGGTCAGTATGGAATGTTCAGAATGCAACTGCGGCAGAGCCAGATCCTCGCATTCACAGAACTGACAGACTGCGCAATGGTTATCCAGTCGATGGCACAAGACACCCGCCTGACGTTATGGCTGCCCTTGGTGTCGGGTCGTCATGGTTCCGCTTGGAATTGTCACTGTCTGGATTGTGCCTGGTCTTCTCTTCTCTCATGGTTTTTGTGTCAAAGACTGCTTCGTGGCTAAGATGGGACGCAAGTTTGACTTGGAGGGGCTTTAAAACACACATATGCAGAAGCTAGAAGGGGACTATTGTATGGGAGGAAAAAAGAAAAGCGGCTACTTACAAAAGTGCTGAAATTGACTGAAGGTGATTGCTGAACCGTGCTTGAGGGCAATAGAGAAGAAAGCGAGACCGTCAACGAGCCTTGGGTCACAAGGTCAGTCGCAGTGGGAGAGATCAGTGAACATGGCGAGTCTCCTGGAGCGCAGCTGAGCGCTGGCAGGGAAGTGACGGGGTCTGGACTCGGAGTGACTGATGAGAAGTCAGAGAGTTGCGCCGAAAGACTGACATAACTGGGAAGGGGTCCACGAGTCCATCTCGTACCATTATCATCAGGAGATGGAAACGAGCTCAGCGTTGTTCCCGTCGCAGCTGAGGCGGCCATCCCGGCACACCAGGTCCCGGTGCCACAGGGCACTCTGCCACCGATCGTGTCGATGAGCAGAGGAAGGGTGTTTGTCATCGCCATCGCTGGGTGACCATCGCCGCGGTGATGATAGAGTTTGCTCTCATGCTGGGAGGACAAGGGATGGTGGTTGTCACAGTGGTGATTGTTGTTGGATCGAAGGTGAAGTTGGTTGTTGAAGAACACAGCCCTTTTAAATCTTCATGGCAGCCATCAGGTCCAGCGAGCAACAGCCATACTGAGGTTCTTCTGATGACAGATATCAGGCGTTTTCGCCTGTGCCCTGCGCAAGGGTTTCTGGAAGATTGCCTCAGAATTCTGTCCGAGCCTTCACATGGCTTGTCTTCACCCCTTGGGCCTTGGTCCATGGCCTCTACGATTCTGCCAGTCCCCGGATGCCGGAGTTTTGATGCTGGTCTGATAGGAAGCTCACAGAAGCACCTATAGCCTCTGCTTTGTGAAACGGATGAAGCCATAGTATAGCCATTGGACGTTCCACCCGTCTTTCCCTGATCATAGTGAATACTATGTTGGGAACTCTTCCGTTTCTTGATAGTTGCGCTGTTAAGTACGTCAGTAATCAAGTAGACGACAATAACCCCAAACGCTCGCGGTGAGAATATAGGAGACACGCTGGGACATCATAAAACACGACAGTTAATCCATCCGGCACAGGTGAAGCAAACAGAAAGCATGAAAGATCCAATGGTTCAACACCGTTCGTGAATTCGATGGAGCTCTGGCTAAATCAGAAAGGGCGCTTCTGTCGACAACAAACGCCGGTTCCTTCTCGGAGCAAGTCCCATCGAGGTCCACACACAGCTCCGCTCACAAACGTCCCATCATTAGCCTGCCGAAGCCGACGACAGGTTTCCCCAAAAGCCGTTCCAACAACAAAAAAGAGATCCTTGCCCGTGTGTGTAAACGTGGATGGCTGTCTGAAGCAGAAAGTCTAGACATTGGATTGAATCTTTCGCCGATCTTGCGCCTCAACGCCTTCCGAAAATCCATGTGAGGCAAAAATCCGTGTTGCGAGACAGGAATACTTTCCATTTGCTCTTTGATTGTCTCTTGCTCAAGCATGGGCTTAAGCCTTTCCTGCCTCAGCGATCGAATATCTCTTGCGCGTTTCCCTTGTAATGTGTGTCGTGGCGGTGGCGATGGTGGCTAATCTAGCAGCAGCCACCAGCAGCGCCCGACTGCACACCTTGTCCTTGTCCGACTTGAACCGTGGGCTTATTGTTGACCGTGGTAGTTCCCATGCGCTCCTTGATCTGCCGGGCCATGGTCAAAAATGCTTGCTCGACGTTGGAGGCATTCTTTGCGGAGGTCTCGAGGAATGGGATTCCCAGGCTGTCGGCAAATTCCTGTTGCATGATGAGTCTTGCCGCTTTTCGGCCTACTCGTTTAGGGGGCGCGCCACTGTACCTTTGCCATGGTGTATTCGACCACCTTCTTGTCCGACATATCGCTCTTGTTGCCGACAAGTAGCTTGTTAACTCCTTCAGTAGCGTAGCGATCAATTTCCTGTAGCCATTGCTTGACGTTGTTGAATGAGTCCATGTCTGTCACATCGTACACCACACAGATGCCATGAGCGCCTCGGTAATAGGAGGAAGTAATGGTTCGGAATCGTTCTTGGCCGGCAGTATCCCACTGTTCGAAGGTCAGACAACGTATCACACGAGATGTGTAGAGATTTCCCATACGATTTGTAGCTTGACAGTCTTTCCATCGAGTTCGATGGTTCGGATTTTCTAAACCCCCGTCAGCCTCCCGTTTCTCCTAATTTCGGAATCCTTAGATAGCAGCCTAGGATCGCAACAACGTACGAAATCGACGCCGATGGTAGAGATGTAGGACTCGGTGTACGTGTCATCGGCGAATCGCAACAGCAGGCATGACTTTCCGACGCCAGAGTCTCCAATAAGCAAGAGCTTGAAGAGGTAATCGTATCTGCGTGGCGAGGTTAATATCCATAACGCATGAGGCCGGTGGTTTCCGAGGACGGGTTTTTAAAGGAATGGCTCTACAGATTGTTAGCAGTGGCCCATACTCGGCATATCACCGTCGAGAGGATGATGATTGCTGGTGCTTTAGATGACTTACCACTCTGGATTCATGGTGCTCGATGGAACAGGGGGTTCTAGGAGACTTGGGAAGATTGACACTGATGGAACTGATATGAACAAGAAGTTGAGGAGAGCCTAGATTGGTGAAGCCGGGTGACAAATTGAGTTGAAAGCGAAGGGTGAATTGATGGGAGAATGAATCTGGCGTCTGGCGTTTGCGGCCAACCTGGACTTTGGGATCCGCTACTTGGAGGCGAAAGAGTGGTAACGCAGTCCGTAACTTAGGCGCAGGCAGACTCAGGCTCCTTTGTCACCTGTCCAGATCCTTGTAATTGGGCGGCAGAAGCCTGTAACAGAGAACCTACGGGCACTAAGAGTAGCTGATGATGACAAGGTCGGGCAGATCACGTGCCAAGCCACAAACAATAACTGCGTGACACTCTTTCATTATGCTCCGTATCATCATGATGGCAACCTCCATAACTACTTAGGTGCTGTGTAGGTAGCCTTCACAACACCCATCAGGCAGCACCCCGGAAATAGCAGTACAAACACCTCCCGCACGCGTGTTCACATCCACAGGGTTGGTCTCGTGGGACATGAACTTATGCATCCCCTCCAGAGAGAGGTTTGTACAGATCAGTGACGACCACTCACCGCAGCAAATCAAACGGGTCGACAACCACCATTCTCATTGACTAGCTTCATCGAACGGGCTCGCAAATCCTGCTCTTAGTGACGGACATAAAGTCCAGGGTGGACAGATTGTCTGCCATAGCATGAACTGCCTCTTCAACCGCAACCTTGTCCTGTCTCTTGCAGCTCTTGACTCGACAGCAAATCATGGATCCACCACTAGTGGACAGATGGAGAGAAGAGAACATCCCAAGCTTCCCCTATTTGGTCATTGTGTCTACACACATAAATCCACAAACCCGCTCCCATTTTTGTGGAGTATCCGTGACCTTACGAGGCATACCCGTGAGCCTTCAACCACTCCAACAACTCCGCCTCGTCGCGCTCCTTATATCGTGCATTCCCCGTAATTGTATCATACACGATGACCAGACTTCTGCTGAATTGCCCAGTCTCCTTGTCCTTGAAGAATTGGTCGATATCATCTCTCACCTTGAGATCCGAGTACTTGGGCAGGCCTGACTTTATCCATCTGTCAATAACCACACTAGTGACCCCCAATCGCTTGAACACCCGGGGCCAGTTTTGCTTGGTATACTCCCAAGCCACGTTCCGGGTCTCATTATTGTTTGACACGGCGATGATACCTCCATGCGCGTCTTGTGGAGGGACCTCCTCGGAGGTGACGAATTCTAGCAAGTCCCATGCATGATCCGAGTTCTTCGAGCGGCCCAGTGCTTGAATGCAGATCTCTTTTCCATCAACACTGGTGGTCTTTATGAACTCTTGTTTGACGGTGTCATACTCTTCTTGCCCGCCATTCGCGACTGCCAAGTTGAATATCACGCCTCGAAGGTTTTGATGGATGGCTTTCTCATCGCCAGATTTCCATGCTGCGAATTTCTTCTGCCCTTCGGAGATGATTCCTTGGTGGCCGGCGCCGGCAGCGGTGCTAAGGAGGAGTTTTCTCGATTGACCAGTTAGGTAATCTTCACCCTCAGGATAGTTCCAACCTATTGCCTCTGCAGCAGGGGATACGAGTTTGAGGGTGAATTTCTTCAATGCTGCAGAGATTTCCTTGTTCGACGCAAAGACTTGTCGCACTTTCGATAATGAGCCGGCAATCTGTTGCCACACCAAGAAGCTTTTTTCGTCCTTGAAGCCTTCTAGGAGAGACAGGAGAGCGGCTGTTGTACCATTTCCAGCGATCGCCAAGGCAGTAGCATCACCCATCAGGCCAATCTTATCTTCGATGGAAAGCTGCTCATGGGCTTCACCAAGCTTCATCAGTCGCTGAGGTGGGTAGTTCGCGCGATAGAAGCCGCTTTGATCAGCGTTGATTTTGTAAAAGGCATCATCCACATCTCGAACAGTGTCCTGCTTCTGGGTCAAGGCGCTGTGAACGATCTTGACAGGGGTGCCGGTCTTGAGACCAACCGGAACCCACCACATAGTTTCGTCTTCCTCGGCCTTCACATCTCCAGTCGTCAGGAACCTTGATTGGCGAATGGATATTTGACCAGGCTCTTCCGCTATTGTGATCACCGGAAACCCGATCTTACGAATCCAGGGATCCATAAATGTTTGAACATCTTGGCCAGAGGCTGCGCTAAGGGCCGCCCAGAGATCATTGGTTTTGGCGTTTCCATAAGCATGGATCTTGAGATAATCACCAACTCCTTTGAGGAAGATCTCTTGTCCGAGATAGTTGCTCAACATCCTGATGACAGAACTGCCCTTGAGATACGAAATGTGGTCGAAAATTTGATCAGCTTCGAGAGCATTGCGGACTGGGACTTCGATAGGGTGGGAAGCACGTAACGAGTCGAGTTCGAGAGCTGTTTGAACAGCTTCAGCCTAGAGTAATCGTCAACAAGGACAACACTGGTACAATACCTCTGGACATTCTACGCACCACAAACTGACTCCAGACTTTCCACTCCGGATGCAAATGGTCGACAGCTAGCCAGCCGACCCAGGTGGCGAAACCTTCATTCAGCCACAACTCATTCCACCAATCCATAGTGACCAGGTTGCCGAACCACTGATGTGCCAACTCGTGAGCAACAACATAGGCAACTCTATTCTTGAAACGAGCATCGGACTTCTCTTCATCATATAGGACCGCCGTGGTTCGATACGTGACCAATCCCCAATTTTCCATGGCGCCCATGGCGAATTCATGAACAGCCAGCAGATCCGATTTAGGAAGGGGATATTCAATTCCGAAAACGTCTGAAAAATAGTCAAGGGTCTTGTGGGCGTGTTCCATGGCAAAACGACCTTGCTCTTTAAGCCCACGAGTCGTGTAGACTCTGACAGGCAAAGGCTTGCCGTTGTACTTGCGTTCCGTGAAGCCTTCGACGTATTCAAAATCACCGATGGCCCATGCTGCTAGGTATGTGCTCATGGCTGGTGTCTTTTCAAATGATACCTTTTTCAGACCGTCCTTGCTCCCCTTGCTTGTCGATTTCTCGGGCATATTACTCAGGGCAACCAGATCCTCTGGGATCTCAACCTCGAACTCAAAAGATGCTTTCAGATTTGGTTCGTCAAAGCAAGGGAAAGCCCTCCTGGCAGCACAAGCTTCGAATTGCGTGCTGAACATGTAGTGGTACCCTCCGTCTTTTGGGGTTCCCGCGGCTGGAGTGACAGCAGGCTTATATTTGGAGCGATAAAAGCCTTCCATAGCATTATTCATTGTTCCTCTGAAACCGATAGCAAAAACAGCATCACCAGATGGGATTTTGCCTGAGAACTTGATCGTCGCTCTTTCGCTCTTCTTGTCATAGGAAACGTCGGCCATTGATGTGATTGTAGAGCCACCATCTTTGCTCAGAACTTCTGCATTTTTGATTTCCAGCTCTTTCACGTTAAGGACGAGCTCTTGCGTTTCTTGCTTGACCTTTGAGTCGACCTTGACGGTACCGTCATAGCTCCAGTTCCCACCAAACTCCAGATTGTAGAGGGACAAGTCATAGTTGAGAGGTTTTATGGTATCCGGCAGAATATCTCGGTCACTGGGAGGCGCCATGGTCCTTCTTGCGTCTATCGAACAGAATCGGATCTGGAGTGATCTGTGATCGAGGCGTCTTGAGAAAGAAGGTTGGCTGAGCCGGGAGTGAAGCGAGAGAGTACAGATGCTTCTTTTCGTACCCGCGACAAAAATAGGTCCAGCCTTGAATGTCGAAGTGAAAAAGGAATAAAATTTGAAGTCGAGCATCCACGCCCTCCTTCCTACTTGGGTTGCAAATAGATCTGCATTAACAGCAGCCAACGGCCAACTAGTACGAGGAGAACGACGGAGGATTGCTACATACCAATCGAGTCAACGTACGAGGTATTACTCGGTACTGGCCGAGCTGCCTGAACGGTTGCATTGGCGGGGGGATTCATGGCATCATCTCCAACTGCAGCTCCAAATTATTTTCAGCCTTACCACATCAAGCCTCGTCCTGCACGCGACAACGTGTTTCCTAACTAGCCGTTTTCTATTCTCTTTTCTCTCTTGCCGCTGCGCGTCTTCCTCGTCCATGTGATGCCGGCATCAGGGGACGAATATGTTGCCGATGGAACAGACGACGACTTGCCTAGAGCCTCCGCCCGCGGCCGTTCTGCTGTTCGAAGGGCAAATGCTCGCGAATCTGCCCAGAGCTTTGAAGTAACCCGAACTTGGGATCTGCTCGTTGAAGGTGCCGATGGAACCATTACAGGTGCGGTTGAGGGTCTCCTGGAGGCGGGTAAGAGGAAAAGGTAGGTTCTTCAATCCATCGACGGAAGGAACTAGACACAGAAGAGAATCAGTCTCAAAAGAACGCCAACTGCACCTCATTTGAATGTATCTCACCATGGCTTCTCTGCAGACTTCTCAAAGACACCACGCCCCTCCAGCGTGGTATAATCCGCCACCTAATCCTTATCCTCGACATGTCCCTCTCTATGAATGAGAAAGACCTCCGTCCAACCCGCTACCTACTCACCCTGTCCTACACCGAATCCTTCATCCGCGAATTCTTTGAGCAAAACCCGATTTCGCAGCTTGGGATAATAGGCATGCGCGACGGTATCGCCGTTAGGATCAGTGATATGTCTGGTAACCCAACCTCTCACTTGGCTGCAATACAGAAATACCGTAAGGAAGAACCCAAAGGCAATCCCTCCCTGGAAAATGCGCTTGAGATGGCAAGAGCAGGATTGTTTCACGCGCCCAGCCACGGGACGCGTGAGATACTGCTGGTATTTGGCGCTTTACATACTTCGGATCCGGGGGACATTCACAATACGATCAACAGTCTAGTTCATGACAAGATACGGGCTACGGTCATTGGCCTCGCGGCGCAAGTTGCCATCTGTGCCGAACTTGTCTCCAAGACAAACGACGGTGACTTGTCCCCCTACGGCGTTGTATTGCATGAACAACACTTTCGGGAACTATATATGGCTGTGACAACTCCACCAATTACCCACGGCGGCGCCAACAAGACAGCCTCATCACTCTTGATGATGGGTTTCCCTTCCAGAACAGTAGAGGGGCACCCCTCACTATGTGCTTGTCACGCCACACCCAGACGAGATGGGTATTTGTGCTCACGATGCAGTGCCAAAGTATGCAGTCTGCCGAGCGAATGCCCTGTGTGCGGACTGACGCTAATACTGAGCACCCATTTGGCGAGGAGCTATCACCATTTATTTCCCCTTGTGAATTGGCTCGAAGTTCCCTGGTCAAAGGCTTACCGAAGTACTGCTTGTTATGCTTGTTTGAAGCAGTTCCCCCCAGCTCCAAAGCCAAGTCAGTTGCCGACATCAACCGCAAAGGAACAGCAACCGGGACAGTCAAGTACGGACCCTCCTACTGGCTCCACAGTCCCAATCTCTGTTGGTAATAAAAACCCTCAATCTGCAGGCCCCCTCCCGACGACCAGTACCAGCAGATACGAATGTCCTGTCTGCCGGAGGCATTTCTGCATCGACTGCGATCTATTTGCCCACGAGGTCGTGCATAATTGCCCTGGATGCCAGAGTGCGAAGATACAGACGAGCTTGATGGGAGAGACAGAGATGCCAGCTCCGGATCGAGGTGAAGCAGACGGAGAGAGAAATGGGGCGCAACAGGCTGGGACGGAGGGTCAGGACAAGGGACAGAATGAATGTTGATTGACTTTCCAGTAGCGAAACAAACTTGAACAAGTCCCTCAACTTTCATGCCTAATTCCTTCGACCTTTTTGCCACTTTCAGCATGGATTATCCAGTTCCAATGGATCATCATTGAGAAACCACATACGCAAAAGTTTGTACGAATTTTGTATTCCAGAATTGATTCTGCCTAATCTCCTCGAATATATATACCCCCTCGCTTTCACCATCTTCTCCCTTTCCTTTCTGCATATCCTTCCTACTATTCTTATCCCTATTCTTAACTTGCATTGATATCATATTGTTATCCGACAAGTCAAGTGCGGGTCTCTTGCAACAGTTTTTGGAACGACAACATTGGAAGTTTTCTTCCGCATCTTTTTCATCATTGCTTCCTTTTGCCTTGTTGCAAAGCTTTGGAGAAGAAGAGGTTTGAGCGCGGTTCATCTGTCTCTTTCTGCAGATAGAGCATGTTGTCTCTGTCCTCATAAAGTCGACTCGCAGGGAGCCATAGCTTCAGATCCTCGACTCACCATTGTTCGTAGTTACGCAATTGTCCTTCTTCAAATTCTTTTTTCTTGGACACTGGAAGAGTGCCTCACGGCTTAGGCAATACCTGCTCATACACACGGCTGTTTTACCTCCAAGGCAAGCATCTACCCACCAAAGGGAATGGAATCTCATCATTCAATATGTTCTTGCATTACTCTTGCAGTGACGATATGTCCTTTCTGATGGCAAATGTAGGTATCAATTTGAAGGTGGTATGTGAAGGCTCCGGACATGCTATTTCCCACATCGACAGCCCATAAAATGTACGCATGTGAAGCCATCGCTTCGTTATCTCCTGCGCCGGAGTTCACCTCAACTGACCAGCATTACCAGAATTAGGACGACCGCCAAAAGGCAGATGGAACAAATACGTCGGAATCGACCAAGGAAGGTCAAATAGTAATAGAACAATGACAGAAGCCAACCAAAAGCAGTGGATATTGCAGGGATACGTAGCCGGAACGGTATAACGTTCGGTCGAGATAGGGGCCCACCCATTACTGAAGTGTATAAGGTCTGGACCCTATTATGAGGTACTTAACGCTCCTGAGGATCAGCTTTGACCCATCTCCTTCAACGGAATCTCAATCTCCGCCAGTGACAGTTTCTATCCTGATCTTCGTACTCACCAAGGCAAATTCTGGCAGACAAAGCTGCTTCAACTGGAAGAACAAGACCAAAACTTGCAAGGACGTTGTAAGCTAGAGAGCCTCGCTTTCGATGTCAGTGTTAAAGGCACAAAGGAAGGTAACAAGGCAGAAAACAACGCAATAAGCGCTGGGTTGAAGGACAACGCCCTTCCTGATGAGCTTTGACCCATCTCGGTAGTTGCAATCCTTTTCTTCTTTGAACGACAGACTTCCTCGTCGGAGCCTCCTGCGGGTCGAGCCAGCTTCCGAAATACGGGAAGGGAATTTGTCCGCATGGTCGAGAACGATGGCAAGGATTGCTGCAGTCATGTCGAAGCCCCGTTTTTACTGCTTCGAATGTTGAAACAGGGGATGATCCATGCCACACAATCTCGAAATCAGCACGAATCAAAGTGGTGCTCACAGCTCGACGAGCACATCTCCTTCTGCGTCAAAGGCCAGGAATGGGCTCATATATATCGAACTTCCTCTTATGTGGTTCGCTACACGGCTCCTTGCGATCCAAACCCATTCGCGGTATTACTCTGCTCTTCATTCCGGGGCTGTGCTACAATGGGAATATAGGGGAGAATTTGGAAGACGACACTACTATGAACATCTTGTTCTGGGGCAGATCTCTGGAAAGGATGAGAATCTACGACAGAAGCAGAAAGGAAAAGGAACAGATACTAGACGGATACTACGTTGGCCGCTAGGAAGACGAGGAAACAAAGGACGCCTTACTGGAAAAACCCGAGATAACAGAGCGCACCAGCGACATAGGCCAAGCCGATGTTGTCTAAGAGCGAGATGTTGATGTGCTGGGTGAACAGATGGCAGGCTGAACGGGTTTTTTGGAGTTTGATGATAGCAAAAGGGTCATAAGAAGAAATTGACGTAATATTACTATTTGCTCCAGTCACTGACCAGTGCAACTTCTCTACGACGGGCAAGATGGGCATAGATATGCTCCAGAGAATGTTCTTAAGGGGGGCGATGCAGGCGGAGCTGCATGAAACGTGGTTTGTCCTTGGGAGCGGAAAATATGAGAAATCTGTCAGACGGGTGTCAGACACCCCAATTAATCGAACTGCACGACCCATCATGCCCATGGCGGCCCTTGCAAGCCACCAAGCTCAGTGTTGCTGGACTAATTCTTTAAATGACGCTCACAAGAAGCTTTCGCTCCTTTCCACCTCCCGCCCCCCTCCTATGCATGTTGGCCAGCTGCTCGAATCGCCCAGATTCAACCACCACCCACTGCAGGCCATCCGACTTATGCATCAGGTCGTCCCTGTCTTCAGCATTCTTCTGTGCGGGGACCGCGGCACTACGAACGGCTTCAAACATACGTTTTTGACTTCGTAGTTCCGAACGCAACTCTCGGAATGGCGCACTAAGCGTGAATGCAGCCGTGCGTTGGGACAAGTACAAATTCATCTGGCTCTCGCCCGTTTTCATTTGATGTCAACTGCGTCTTCGGACCAAAAGAATGGACTTTGCATCTCGCCATTTCCGGGTGTGATCTCGTCAACTACTTGATCTGTGATCAAGCTGCCGTCAAGCTCTGCAAATGGCCCAACATGCATACAAAATTTTCTGACTCTCGCTACAACCACTCACGATCGCGAAACCAATTTTCTCGATACGTGATCGGAGACTTTACGTTTGGGCTCTATCAGCAGAAGGCACGCCACAAGCTCTTTTTACAGAGGAACATCTCGCGGGTATTGGAGCATCACGCGGAGCGGCGGAAGGAGAAACGCCCATGGGCGAGTTCGACACCTCTTGTGGCCAAAAATACGACCGACGTCGAGAAGGTCTCAGAAGGGACGATTTCGGGTGCAAGTGGGGCAGGTCGGGTGGTAAAGAGTGCTGCAGTCGACGGAACAGAGACTTCGGGAGACCCCACTGCCACCTCCAATTCATCTCAACTGACAACGCGCAATATGTCGTCGAGACCAGACCCTTGTGAGCGGAACGGAACACAGCAAGAGAGCACTAGGCAGCGAAGCATCAGAGGCCTCGTCAACAAAACGTACCACCATCCTAATGCCGAGCTAATGCTTGACTTGAGTAATATCAGAAGGAAACTCAACTTCAAAACCAATTGTCTTAGCGGCGATCAGAGGCCTTCCAAACGCCAGAAACGCGACGCTGTCCGATGCCTGTGCCATCTGACAATATGGGACAATCGCGATGGCTGTAATGTGATGCCACTTACCACCAAATCATCATATTGTGATGTAACAGTCGGTGACAATGGCGTGCATGGCTACTTTGTCGACCTCGAACTAGAAGAGCCTTTCGTTGTCAAAGCGACAGAGCTCAAAGTTCCCATTCAACAAGAGTCGAAATCTGTTCGGGGAATTATCAACAAGTATTTTCTTGAGATCAAGATTATTCCCTTTGCAGTTGACAGTTGCTGGCCCCCAATACCAATTATGAGCAAGAGCGACGCTGACAAGTTCACTTCGGAAATCGGGAAGGTAGAAATTGAAGAGCTGCAAGGAGCTATTGTCGCAAGATACACCCACCTTCCACAAGCTCCTGACCCGGATGTCCCGCTCAGTGTGTTTTTCCTGCATGAAGGACGCACATACAAGACGAATTACGGACTCCAGGTGACATCAACTTGGCAGAAATCCGACCTTGTCTCTAAACCTACTGAGCCGGGGAGCAAAGACTTGGATATCGACTCGTTTCTGTCCCAAAACTTGAACGCGGTGTATTTGCCAGAGAGACCAAAAAGGGACCAGAAACCTGCTCCTAAGGCAGCTTCGCAGAGTCCGCACCAACCCGAAACAAGCTATACCTTTTCTAGTACGATTTCGAGGCAAGCAGGTACTGGTGAAGAGTTCCGCAATGCCATAGTCGAGGGATATCGATGTCCGCTTTGCGCCCCGTGGAAGTCGCGGAGTTTGCAGAATTTGCTGTTTCATCTCACGACCACGCATCCGAAATATAATTTCTCGGTGGCGAGGCTGCGACGAGACCCCATCACCAACGAGCCGACCGAAATCCAAATTAAAGTCGATACTCTCGTGAACCTCAGAAGGGAGGAGAATGATTTTCAATTTCACTGGCAAGCTCCAGCCAAACCATTCGACCTCTCGGCCTATGTAGAAGGCGATCGTAGCTGGACAGGGGAAAAGGCAGTTAAGAAGCCTCCTTTGAGCGGGATCACGACTTCCAATAACTCCTGGTCAACCATATCGGGCTCGCGATATCCACTAGCGTCTGAGGTCCCTGATTTTCGTAAACCTAACCGCAGAAAGGCCAGAGCCATTTGCCTACAGTCCAAGTATGACACACCCGAAGATGTATGGACCTCTATTTCAGATCGACCGGTCTCCCCCAGTGAAGAACCACGCAGTGACACAGATGACGAAGTCGACAATAGCTTGCATATTGAAAGGCATATGGAACTGCTTGAAATCATGGCTCAAAAACAGGGTTGGAGCAATCACAAACGGGAGCTCTACAAACGGTGGAACCGACACCGGACGGAAGAACATCTCGAACATCCCCGATATCTGTCGAATTCTCTCATTAGATTTGTCAGAAAGCATAGAAGATGGTTGAAGGACGGGAGTGATGAGCTGTGTCAAGTTTTCTTCGACTTTTTGAGCGAGCTGAAAGAGAAGAAGGTCATTGATGATAATGTGGTTGCGGACGTTAACGAGCTGATTTTCCAAGGTCCTCCATCGGATGCACTGGTGGAAGAAAGAGAGACAAGCGAAGCGGTACTTAGTCGTGCACCAGAAGTGGCACAAGGCTCTCAGGGCACTAAAACAGCCAACGTGCAATCCCGAACTCGAGTGCAGGCGCAAAGAACACAAAAAAGGCATGGAGAATCGGACAAGGAAAATGAACGAGCTCAAACCCAAATGACAAGTGAATATAAATGCGGCGATTGCCTCAGGGAAATCGAGCTTGCACACAAGAACACAATCTGCTGCGCGGATCCCGAGTGCAGAACACCCGGAAAGAGGTATCACAAGAGATGCGCCTTGTATCAGAGATTGTTGTTCGGCAAGAAAAGAAGAAACATCCCAACGCATGGGGACTTTGGTCGTCCTCTGCCGGAACTCAGTCCAACCGAGAACGAAAAGCTGGAGAATTGGATGTGCAAGCACTGCGTCGCGAAATGGTGGGTGCTCTTGCTGGACCGTACACCGAAACGGATACAGCCTGTCAAGAAGAAGCCAATAAAGATAAGGAAGAAGGTGAGGAGAAGAAAGGTAGACGATGAGTCGTTATTGAAGTGGGCGACCCATGGGGCACACGAAGAGAGGATGAAGAAGGAGGAGATGATTAAGAATACGATGGCAGCGAACGAGGGGGCGAATGGAAAGGGCAAGGAGGTAGCGAGGGAGACGAGGACTCCGACCGTCAACAGGGAAGGGACTCTAATTGGAAGTTCGATTCGGAACAAGATGGTGCTCCCCATGAGGATAGGTGGAGGGAGCCAGACGAAAACAGCGAGCCCGAAAAGGATGGGGAGCCCGATGCCGACAGCGAGGGCGGCGGCGACGGCAAGGGCTAGATTGAAATCCCAGGAGAAGGCCGTCCTTGCGAACAGAATTCTGGCGATAAACAAAAGGAAGAGTGGTCTATCGAAATCCAGGTTCTGCGGAGACACCACTGACACAGAGTCCTAGATATTTCTAGGAGCTAGGACGAGGCAAACGAGGATGAGGCCAAGCTCAAGCTCAAGCTCAAGCTCAAGCTCAGGCTCAGGCTCAGGGCTGTTGACTGGCAAGCCTCAGACCATACATACCACCGCGATTTCTGGGATTCTAGATCCGCGATACTATTAGTGAGTTCTGAGACCTGAATCGGATTGGAACGCGGTGAATGGGGATCCAATCTCCATGAATGCAATATTCTATCCAATCCAATCCAATCCAACGCATTCAAAAACAAAATGGACCAAATAGAACTAGGCCCGGGGTTTCAAGTATCCATGTAGCCGTGGTTGTAGTCGTCGCTATACAGATGGAGGGGATGTGGATATGGATACAATGATGATAGTGGCGAGGGTCGATAAGCGCTGTGTATACACTCCGTGTATACCGAGTACGGAGTACAGATGAGGGGTCTGGGGTATGAAGAAGCTAGAGCCAGGAAAGAACCAAATGTCGGAATGCCAGCAGATTGAATGAATTTTTGGCTTTGGTTCTTTTTTTTTGGAAAGCAGATCTTGGAGCTGTCCGTCTGGCAGCAAGTCAACCACCCCAACGGTCTATCACTTGCCATGCGGGCAAGAATGAAACCCCCATTCTGATCGCTTTTCCTAGTCTGCCGTGAGGCAGATTGATTTTTGACTCTTGGACGCCTGTACCTCTTTTGCCTCCTGAAGAAATGCTGTCAATGCCACGTCAAATCGCTTGACGGATGGAACAAGATAAAATATCCTCTTTCGTGGTGAGGTTCTAGGGCAATTCTGAATCATGTGCCCATTGGGGGCCCATCAGCTTCACGATTCGAATCACATATTTGCGTGATTCATTCTTCGAGAGCTGAACTAAGGCCATCACATCGGCCGCCGCCGCAATTATGAACCGTCCATATTCCAATGCTCTTCGCGGAAGATGCGCAGTAATGCAGGCGATATCAACCTTTCATCTCCTCATCCTCGTCTTCGGGCGCCTCGAAGTCTTCATCGTCGTCGTCATCGTCGTCGTCCAAATCGTCACCAGCATCCTTTGATTTCTGCTCGGCTTCAGCCCAGTCGATCTTCTTGCCACGGGTCCGGGTCTCGACAATGTTTTCCAGTTCAAGTGCTTCCATCTCATCGACTATATTGAAGTTAGTTTGGACTCCCCTTCGCAGAAATCTGCGAGCGGAGGATAGATGGAGAGAGGTTTTCATGGCGGATTGGTGTGCGATTTACATCATGGTAGGAGTGATGTGAGGATTTGCTCAAGGGGTAGAATGTACCTTCATCTTCCACTTCGGGTATCTGGAGCAAGTGATCATGTCAGAATGGGCTAGGAAGACAAATCCTCGATGTCATGGACATACCTCTTCTTCCTCTTCCTCTTCTTCGTCGTCTTCGTCATCATCCTCTTCCATCATCATAGGCTCCTCGACCGCCTTGCCCTTTCCTTTGCCAGTGTCGGTAACTTCGCTTGCGCCCTGAGGCACGGTCTCGCCGTTTGCCGCCATTGTACGGTTTGGAAGATATTAGTGGGGAGGATCTAGAGGTGTTGGAGCGATAGGAGAGGCTCCTTTGAAGTTGAGAGCAGTTGGTATTGAGCAGCAAAGTGTGGCAATTGCTGGTGGACACACATTCGAGTTTGGAGCGCTGCGCGCTTTGCGACAGCGCGCCAAGCACCACTACACAGCTAACCTGATTAGACCTAGTATAATCACGTGGATACTCTTGGCCTAGCCGGATATCATATCCGATGTCAATTCGCGAATCCGTTTGGATTATCACGTCCCGTCTTTCTTGAGTTCGCGGCTACAATTGCTTGGACCAGTATGGGGCTCGAGGTTTGATGCCGATAGGATGCTACTGAGAGACCACACATGAAGATTTCAACGTTGCGACTGTGTATCCAACCGCAGAGACTTATGGGCTGCCACTGTTACGAGAAATAGACGGTCGCTGATGATTACAGCTATGGCAAGTGCAATTTTGATGGCAGCCATCGTGAGCGGCGTCAACGAGCAATCAACGTCGCATTGAGGCCAACTAAGCTCGATTTTGAGTGGTCAGGTACCTCGTACCCTGCCGGTCCCTAGGATTTTGATAAAGCTAGAGCGATGGCGAGAAGAGATCTCATCTTTCCTACTTGTTATGTCGATCTTAACGCTATGAACAGTCTGGATTCTTTGCTCTCGGTGTTGTTGCAGTTAAAGTGTGGGTTTTCGCGGGAAGTACCATCTACAAAGTTCGCCTTGTGGTCAGGGTGGTTGCGTGTAGCTTGAAGTGGTTTCTGTAAGGGACTGAATTTGTCGCGTGATGTCTTGAGAAAATATTGCTGATCTTTTAAGCTTCCGGTCAATTTCAGAGAATGGGAAGATAGAGGACTGGGACTGGATGGAGAACAAATTAGGCGAAGCGACTCCACACGATCCTCATCTTTCTAGCACAGTCTTCCGAACTGTATCTTACTTTGTGTACGAGTACGATTTTTGGAGAGAATGTGTGATGCATCGGTGGGGATTATAGAACTGCGGTAGTGGCTCGCGAGTGGCGATGATTAAACGTCAGAAGAAGCGAAAAGAATTGGCATGATGTTGTTTGATGCAGCAATTTCATCATTGCTTAGAAGCATCGTGAAAGATTTCTGACCGGTATCGAAGATGCAAGTATCAGGCGACTTTTTTTTCTTCGCTACCTTGTGTGGTTGCCCCTCCAATCAACCGTGGAGAACCCACCTCAGCCTTGTCTGGAGAAATTCAGCGAAATAGGTAGTTGGAGGGGGAATTGAATGACGTACTAGGGGTTCAGTCGTTCAGTGCGGGACAGCTTCCACTGCGAAAAATGCCCAGCTGCAGCCCTCACCACAACAAACGGCTACCCTCACCAAAGTGGAACATAAGGCGCACAGAGTGAGTGGAAGGGCACAGACAATTCAGGCAGCTTCACAGCCCACTTCCTGTCACCGCAGGCGCTCGCTGGAAGAGGCCGGCAGCTTCCAGCTTCCAGTGGGAACCGCAACCCTGCAACTAGAACGGTCGCCAAAGTTCCACGTACTTCTTCACGGTTCGATCAACTGCGTCCCGCCCTCGCCTTGGCAAAATTTCGACAACAACGAAATCCCATAAATCCCAGTGATCAGGCTCTGCCTTTCCTCTTTCTCACCATCAGATCACAACATCCAAAAATCTCTTAGGAATAAGAAGTCTGTCAAAGACTCCTTCATAGCGTTTCTTTCTCCCTTGCACTACCCCATTTCCTCTCATTCTCCAGTCATCATGGCACCAGCAATTGGCATCGATTTGGGCACTACCTACTCATGCGTGGGTGTCTTCCGGGACGACCGCATAGAGATCATCGCCAATGACCAGGGCAACCGAACCACCCCCTCGTTCGTTGCTTTCACCGACACTGAGCGTCTCATTGGTGATGCCGCGAAGAACCAGGTCGCCATGAACCCCCACAACACCGTCTTCGACGCCAAGCGACTGATCGGTCGTAAATTCAGCGACCCCGAAGTTCAAGCCGATATGAAGCACTTCCCATTCAAGGTCATCGACAAGGGTGGCAAGCCGGTCATCCAGGTGGAGTTCAAAGGTGAAGAGAAGCAGTTCACACCAGAAGAAATCTCGTCCATGGTCTTGACCAAGATGAGAGAAACTGCGGAGTCATACCTCGGTGGCACAGTCAACAACGCAGTCATCACCGTGCCTGCCTATTTCAACGACTCTCAACGCCAAGCCACCAAGGATGCTGGTCTGATTGCCGGCCTCAACGTCCTTCGTATCATCAACGAACCCACTGCTGCCGCCATTGCCTACGGTCTCGACAAGAAGGCTGAAGGCGAGCGCAATGTCCTCATCTTCGATCTCGGTGGTGGCACTTTCGATGTTTCTCTCTTGACTATTGAGGAGGGTATCTTCGAAGTCAAGTCCACTGCTGGCGACACTCATCTGGGTGGTGAGGACTTCGACAACCGTCTTGTCAACCACTTTGTGAATGAGTTCAAACGTAAATACAAGAAGGTAAGAAGAATCCCATTTCCTTTGCCCCTCTCCCCTTTCCCTTGGGAGGTGGTGTTTTGATTCTACAGCGGCTCTGTATGGCGGTTTGCACAATCAAACAGAGTCGGCTGCGGAACGCTGACCCACCTTCTCCCCTTGCACTTCCCCCCTTGGCGCCTCCTCTCACAATAGAGCTTTATTATCGACGCTGCCGCTTCTTCTTGTGGTGGTCAACCGGCACTGCACCTTCCTCCCACCAGTGGATTGCGTCACGAAGGGCTACTATTCTCATAAGCGACAGCGTCGAAAACAAGCTCCTCATTGTTATCGTTCACCACGTCAGTATTGTTGTTCAATGTATACTAACGACTCAAAAATAGGATCTTAGCTCCAATGCTCGGGCTTTGCGTCGTCTTCGGACTGCCTGCGAGCGTGCCAAGCGCACCCTGTCCTCTTCGGCACAGACCTCCATTGAAATCGACTCCCTCTACGAGGGCATCGACTTCTACACCTCCATCACTCGTGCTCGATTCGAAGAGCTTTGCCAGGATCTCTTCCGATCCACTATGGAACCTGTCGAGCGTGTCCTTCGCGATTCCAAGATCGACAAGTCCTCCGTTCACGAGATCGTCTTGGTCGGTGGTTCCACCCGTATTCCCAGGATCCAGAAGCTTGTCTCCGACTTTTTCAACGGCAAGGAACCCAACAAATCAATCAACCCTGACGAGGCCGTCGCCTATGGTGCTGCCGTTCAGGCCGCCATCTTGTCCGGTGACACCACCTCCAAATCAACCAATGAGATTTTGCTCTTGGATGTTGCTCCGTTGTCCCTCGGTATCGAGACCGCTGGCGGTGTCATGACTCCTCTCATCAAGCGTAACACCACCA